AGGAGAGGGGCCACAGCAGGAGGACACCCCCGAAAAAAAAAAAAAAAAAAAAAAAAAAAAAGACTCTGCGCTCCCAATGCCGGGAGCCGGGGTTCGATCCCTGGTCAGGGAACTAAGATCCTGCACACTGCAGCTGAGACCCAGAGCAGCCAAATAAATAAATAAATAATTAAAAAAAATATATATATATATATATTTGAAAGAGTGAAAAAAAAGCCAAAATTGAATATAAACAAAAGCAAATAAGCCTAACTGCATATCCAGTTGATAACAGAACCACACAGAGAAAATAAGTCAGGTACCTTCCAAATTCAGCCCTCTGACTGTGTTCCCTTCATGGGATATATTCTAAGGACAGAAAGACTCCACTTTATTCCCAGTATGTATGTTGTTGGCAATGATAGTGTTGAGGTGATTGTGAAGCTAGAGTCTAAGGTAGACTGTATCTGGTAGAGAACATGAGTAAATATATCCATATATGGTTGTTGACAGGAACACCACTGTGGAATGAGGGAAGAGAACTGTACTGCCAGATTGCAATTGGGGACTGCAGTATGAACTCTTAAAAAATAGATTTCCTAGTTTTGTCCAGTGAAAGAGTCTAGAAGCAGTGAAACTGCAGTAGCAATGAACACACGCTGTACCCAGACCTTGGTTTCTCAATACCATTCTCCACTAAAAGGAACCAGAGGTCCTTGGAGAGGTGGAAGATTCTAGGTATGGGGCAGGAAAAAATACAAGATGAGCCTGGAGCACCTTGTGGTGCCAGAAAGTAAGGACATGCTTGAAAAGCAAAAGGATGAGGCATGTCAAAAGGACATGGAAGCCAACCAGAAAGAACCAAAGCTAGAACATTTGAGCATCCAAAAGGCTATTAAACCTTTTGGAGGAGGCACCAGGGAAGGTAGCACATATGTATTCACTTTAAAATTCCATTGAGCTGTACATTGACGATTTATGCACATTACTCTATGCATGCTATAGTCCAAAAAACTCCCCCCCCCCAATGACACTCTTGGATTCTAAGTTGTTGAGTAAAAAAAAAACAATGCAGGGACTTCCCTGGTGGCGCAGTGGTTAAGAATCCGCCCGCGATAGACATTCCAGCCCCTGTGGAAGGATCTCAGCATTTGGAGCCTGCGGTGTACATGGGACCATCCCGAGAATCTAAGGGCAAAGGCGGGATGCAGCCTGCGGCCATTCTGTCTTCATGTGCGTTCGCCTGTCTCCTCTCACCATGGCATGGGCCTTCCCACCTGGGCCTCCCATCTCTCATGCCGGCAGCATCTCCTCCCTCTCCATGTTCCCGCCCCGGCCCTGCCCCTCCACAGCTACACCCTGCTGCGCAGACAAGCTTCCGGAAGCAGGGGTCCGCGGTCTCCGTCACGGGCCCTTCCCCACGGCACTGCCGACAACCTTCTTGCTACCGAGGCGAGAGGAGGCTCTGCCATGCCCTCCCTGTGCTTCTCGGCACCACTAGCTAACCCCCCCCCCACCCCCATGCCTTCCTGGAGGGGCGTTCTTGGCCTCTGACATCGAGCTCTCCCTGCGGCCTCCACAACGTCTCCAGCTGGTGAAGTCCCTCACGGCCCAGTCCTCTCCCCTCTTTTTACGCCACGCTCCCAGGGAAGCCGTCTCATCTGTCCTTACGACATCTAGGACATCGTGTCCACAGGCTGCTCCCAAACGTCATGGAAGGCTGCACGGGGCTGTGGAATCAGACCGGGTCTGGATCCCAGTCAGTTCTGTCAGCGAGGCGCCTACCATATACCCTGAAGATGCCACTCCTGTCTCCCTGTCCAGCCTGATCTACCCGCCGCCGACTTCCTGACCCCCTGTCCAAATGCCCAGCAGATGGCTTTGTCACCCCCAAGCCAGGAGGCACTGGCACAAGGGACTCAACAACCGCCTCTAGGGTCTGTCTGCAGCATGCGTCTGCGTGTGTCACTCCCCTGCACTGCACCGGTCAGCCCTCCCCGAGGACCTGGCTTTCGCTGAGAATCTCCCTCTCCCGCCCAAGCCCACCCCACCCCCTGCCAAAATGATGGAGGCACCACCCGGTTCTGACCAACGAAAGGACAGCGTTTATTTGCTGGGGGCATCTGACAAAGAAGCTACGCTACAGGTCGGGAAGGTGCTCCTTGCTGGCTGTGATCGAGGGATTTGGTGGAAGCTGCAGGCAACCATCTTCTGATCCTGAGGCAGAGGCCTGGGATGAAGCAGACGCTGCAGAGTGCAGAGGGGAGGTAGGAAGAAACTGGGTATTTGGTGAAACTGTTTACCTGCTGCCAATACCCCTGGCCTTCTCAGCTTCGTAAACCAACACATTTCTTTTATTGCTTAAACCAACTTCCTCTACGGTTAAATCAATTACTGGAAACCAAAAGCCGCCCAGCTAATACAGTTCCTTTCAGATCAAAGTCTCACATTCACCTCTAGTGTGATTGGAAGTGTCAGTATAAACCTTCCTGACGGAAGCAAAATGAGAGTGCAGGCAAGTCTGTCACACGGGCCCTGCTGCGGGGCGGGGCCAGGGCCTTCCATCTTTTCTTCAAAGCCTTTGCCCGTCAGGCCTCTGTCCGCCCTCCCAGCCCGGGGACCCGGCGCTTACCCCACGAGGCCCAGGCAGGAGGGCGGCCCAGGTGCCCTTCTCCAAGGAGCAGGTGCCTCGATGATCTCTAGGGCCCACCCGCCAGCGGCTTCTGCCCCTCCCTGGCCCCCCAAGGTTCCTTGTCAGGCAGTGAGTGGTGTGCACAGTGAAAGTCCCTGTACACACGCGGCAGGGGAAGGGTCTACTTTCAGGCTGTGGGTGAGCGCATTGTGTAGGGGCCTGGCTGAGTAACCTCGAGCCCATCACCTGTCATCTCTAAGGGTCGAG